GTGTAGATGGCTTTTTCAGAGTTGTCGAAATTACTTGAATTCACAGACTGTGCATATGAGATCTATGTAAAGGCTCATTTTGAATTTGCTCAATTCGCTTTTCTTTTTATTGATTCTCTGAAACTGTCATGAAAGTAATGTACACTTTGTGTGCTTATTCGGAAGTATGCGGCAGGTCATAGAGACGGATATACAATTGAAGAAAAACTCAAGGAAGGGTTTAATCTTCGAGGCTTATTTTTTCTGTCCCCCTCTTCCTCATCCCATTGTTTCTTTCTTGTACTAGTAAATTGACTTGCAAAGCCAAACAGTATGTTTTTCACCCTTGTGGCATCACGAGTCACACCAACCCAATAAAGAGACTCCTTTTCCCTTTGTGTAATTACAATCAGTGTAGAAGTGACACTGAATAGGCCCCAACCAGCAGCTGGAGAATAGGGCTGCATTGACAAAGCACTTGCAACTGTGGAACAAGTAAAATTAAGTACTTTCTATTCATACTCGCTTGTTCTTATCATGCAGAAGCTCTCTCAGCTTTTGTACTGCTGTATTGTTACTTAATCCAAACAGTATTTAGCTGAATTACTTTGTAGGCATTGAGCATTCGTTTGACTCAAGCCCCCAAAAGGGAATTGTGGCTACTTTTAATTTGGTTGTTCTAAAGTTTTGAATGTAGTTGTGTCCATTGGAGAGTCATATATGTGTGCTTTTATTAGGTAAGCAATTCTGGTGTATGTTTATAGAAACTGGAGTAAAGATAAATGGAGGTCACCCCAACGTGTTTCTTTAATTCCTTGGGGCGTTATAATTATTGGCAGTACATTACAACAAAGTAGACGGCATACTGCAAGGCATTTCTATTATGTGCTGCTTATTATGGGCCTGTGCAACACCTAACTAGAATTGAGACCCATTAAGCAGACCAATAAGAACCTAGGGATCCACTTTAGTCATTTACTGCAAAGTGCCAAGTTCAACTCAGTGGGCCTTTTATAGAGTACACCAGCTGGGTAAACAAATTAATCGTCCAGCCATGGTTTCCCAGCACAACCATGCAGCCCAGGGCAATCATACATCAGACAGAGTGATAGCAACTGTCGCCACCTGGAAATAGAAAGCTTTCTACTATTAAAGACAGACAACCGCCGAGGACCCGCTGGTTTGCGCCATTCATACTGATTCTGCCTCTCGACTGTACTGATCTGCTTCAGTTAGCTGTGAGAATAATAAAGTAGCTAAACACATGACTGTCTGAAGAGTTCTGCACATTGATCGAAACCAATATCAAAAGAATAGGTTTCGACATTCACGTTTTTGTTGGCATGGGACAATATAAAACAGATTTTGGTCACCTTAGTTATATGTACAGGAAATAGGTGCTTGCTTAAAAAGACATAAAATGCAGCTAACATTACTGCTATTGCATCTCTGTAAAGATAAATTGAGAGCCTCAAGTTTTACATATTTAGCTTTGTTCTCTGCTTCAGTAGGTAGATGAGTTTACTAAAAGAAATTTTAAGAAGTAAATGAGTAAATATGCATTTATTTCTTGTCAAACAAAATAAGTAGCTTTTTCTTGAAATATACAAAATATAAAGGCTTAAGCAGTAGATAGAAAAAAAATGAACTTGTGACAAGTAACAAATAATTCAAAAGTGCTCATGTCTTTTTCTTAGGGTTGTTGGCAAACATTGATCCCAGACAGAAAGTAGAATATTCTACTACTAGACAACAAGTGATATTTAATATTTCAATCTGAACAACAAGGTTTTATTCACAAAGTTGCTGTTTTGACATTTGCAACATAAATGTAAGTTGTTAATGACTTGATGGCTTTACACCAAATTGCTTGCTTCATTAAACAACAAGTCTCACCCATACAGTCTGAATGCATAATAATGATAATTATTTGTTAAGTTATAAGACAAGGTGTTTCTCTGTGATATGCATTGTGTGCAGTGATATTGCAGTAAAGACAAAGTAGTGATATTTTGTGCAGCCTTGTTCCTGAGACCTGCTGGTGAAATACTCTATTTAGTTTGGAACTTTATGAAGATGTGTCGCCGTGCATCCAAACCAGAAGCTTACACTCATTCTATATTGAACATAGAGCCAGTGCAGCGTGATCAATACATGTGTCACCTGGGAGTGGTTGGAGAATCTTGCCAGAAGCATTGCAGCTGCATTTTGATTAGCTGTTGGCAATTCACATATGTTTTACTGAGGAAAGTACAAATAGAATTACTATAATATTCTTCTGTGTTCTCTAATATTTTGTTGTCTGAAGTAACCATAAATAATGCACAATGTCTAAGGTCAGTAAGACAGCCTATTCTTCTGTATCCTTATACAACATGACTTATTACCAACAGTTTTTTTCATTGTTGTTACCTTTAAACAAGCATTGAAATTGTCCCAACAGGATAACTCGTAAAATAGATTTTCTTTTTAACAATATAAAAAAAAAAAAACATAATGGTGGTTTCCTTTCCTTTGGTCATACACTATAGACTGACAGCTTGGGGAAGTTAATGTGGTGGAGTAGTTTTACCTTCCTCTAACATCACTGACTGCAGCATCTCATTGAAAATAAGGTATACTCTCAGTATTGGATGATGCAAAAATGTTGCCCTTTTGAAACCGCGACTGGCTAAAACTGCAGTATACCTAGAAATCTCAGGCCGACCCATTTCCAGTGTCGAGTGTCCTATTTATGGTTTGATCTTGAAGCAGGTACTCCAAGCTGCACTGGTGTCAGCCACCGTGAGAATATGGGCCAGACCGGTCTAGTAATTACTAAAGTACAGTAATCTTCAGGGTCAAAAAGGGCAAATGTGTGACTCGCAGTATATTGGTGTGTGTGTGTTTCTGTGCTTAGCTGCACATTACATCATAACAGGCAGGAACAGCATGTGCAGCTGAACACCTAAAAATGGAAACCCATTTCCTAAGGTTCAAACTAAGTTATAAAGTTGTTACGCTTGTATAAAGTGTAAAGCTTTCAGGTTTAAATTGCCTATTTTGAAGCACTTTGAACACTTAAATACATATTTTTGTCTTTTAAAATATCTGTTTTTCCTCCTTCATTGAAGAAAGCAGATTTTATTGAGTTTTCAAGACTTATTTCCCTGACTTTCAATGGACTGAAAGAAGGTAAATGCAGATGTGAGTAAAGATTAAGTATAGCATATTAATTTACCACAATCTAAATATTTAAATGTAACCTTTTATTCCCAGATGACAGAGAAAAACCATGAAGAAAAGTGTTGTTTTATTATTATTCTTTTTTTGCATTCAAAGGGACTTTGATAATTCTCTTCCAGTCTACAACTGCTGTCAGAATTTGCCTCTGTGTAGCAGCAAAAGCCCCAGAGCAGCACAGAAAAGGCTTGAAAACACCTTTTCTGAATCACCTTCTCTGTGTGTCAGGTTAGAACTGTTTTGGTTATTTCATCCTTGTTTTGAAGAGGTGGGTGCTCCGCAGGGAAAAGGTTATGTCATGTCTGTGCACCAGTCAGGCTCGAGCAACATGTTAGTCCTGAATCTTGTGACAGCTGGGGGTTTGTTGTCTTTCGTTTCCAGTCGGTTTCAATTAAATTTGATCAGGACGGCTCCTCTGAAGCAGGGCTAGAGAATTTAAAATAAGATTTAGTTGTACTACTGTTCAGTCTAATTATATCATTTATCACAGCCCCACAAATGCCAACCCTTAAACACGAGTTGCATAATGAAGGGGTGTTCAGCAGTGAATGGATTTATGCGTGGCTCTTTTATTTAAGCTTCTTCTAAATTCATGTTCATAGTGAAAAAAAATGTACATTTACTTGTTAAACCCATTCCCACGAGGACATTTTGGATCCTATTTGTGTGTTCACACATGTTAACTGGGTAAAGTTTACAGAACAAAACCAGTAACATTAATCCACAGGTAGCAGGATTTGTGCACTGCACTGAGTCGCCTTAATAAGTACTGTGAAGCAACGTTTCCCTCAGAGAACTTGCTAAGCCCAGTGTTTGGGGCAATCGGGCAGTCATCTGCCCAGCGGCCTGTTGTGTTTTTGAGTTGAAAAATGTTTGAAGTTGACAGGAAACTTGAAATTGTAATTTGATAATTATGTGTTTTTGGAAGACTGGAAGATTAATGGCTGAACACCAACTATAAAGTCTCAAAAATGCAAACATTTAAAAAACCCTTAAATAAATAAGCAATGCTTAGCTTGGTGGGGGCATAAGTAAAGCCTAGTGGCCCACCAGGTGACCACTAGTATTATATCCGCTCATCAAAATGTAGACTTTAAATATTTAGTTAATATGCTAAGTGGTTAACACCAGTTATTGTATTTTTAGTCCAAAATATGTAAACCCCTGAATATCAGGAGAGAATATGGTCTATCATAAGCAAAATGGTGCCAAAAATGATTTCCGTATGGTGGTGTGTTTTTTTGTGTGGTGCTACTAGCTTGAGCATATTACAAAGAGAGCGCTTCGTTTGCTGAAAAATCGGGAAACTGTGCCAGTTCCAGACAATTGGTGAAACGGTGCCTTTTTTGGGCACAACAAAAATTTTTATGACATCATCTATAAACAGTTTAAGCATTAAAGTTGCACAAATATGTGTATGAATGGTTATATATGTGTTTAACTATTTAGTAATTGTACGATTGAATCATTTGGTTAATGTACTACTTTTTGTTCATAAAAGTATTTAAAAAACGCTGTAATTCATAGATAAATTCAGCTACAAAATTACCACTGAAGAGTAGGCAGGAACAGCTTACAGGCAGGAGCGCACCGGCCCCCAGGTGCGTCTCTTACCTCTAACGGCAGGGCCAACCTGACAAACACACAGAAGGAGACTCCCTGGTGTTTGGGTCGTCACAGTCAACCTCTGTGGATGTTACGCCTCCAGTTTTTTTTTTGTTGTTGTTGTTTCCTAGTGTTTTTCAGTAATCATTGTGCATTGCTTTTGTAATTGTGCCAGCGTTATTCTTTGTTGTCAGATCTTCCGGAGGTGTTGGCTGGTGTTTAAAAAGGCTTCTAGTAAAGGACCCAGGAGGCTAGAAAAGTATCCCGATGAAAAGGCAGCCTACTTTAGAAGTTTCCACAAGGTAAGATCCTCATCAAAGTCTTGAATATTTTATTTGTTTAATTTATTCTTGATAGCCCCCAATTTTGTCTTTTTTTTTTCTAATATCCATATCACGCGGTTGTGTTATCCGTCTTTGTATTTCGTTGGAGCATGAAGCTGAAAGTGGTATTATGATGATTTTATTTCATATTAGTATGTATATTTTGGACCAAACATACCAAACAAGTGTTTAATGTATACACTTGTTTATACATTAAACAAGTAGAAAAAACAGATCAAAGAGAAAAAGAGACCAAAACTATAGTATGCTTAAAATAAATGATTTACGTCAATACTTCAATATAAGCAGCTATCAATTAGATAATTAGTTCTAAGAAAAGGAAAACAATGTAAATCATGCTGTCTAGATTATAAGTTTCTTTATTGACAGTTTTTTAATGTGCAAACCAGACTTCATTGAGCTCAGACAGTCAAATCTACAGTTTTGTTTGGAGTGGTGTACTCTACTATGCTGATGATGCTGATCCATTCAATATTCTGGAAGCTGCATCATGTAGCAATTACACAGCCATGAAATTAAGTATTGATATTCTACAAAGTATGATCTATATTGATTCTGAAATGTTTTGACCTTTTGTTTGTTGCCATCATTAGATAACCGTCTCTGCTTGAGTCTTTGTTAATGTTACCAGTGTCTGATTCCCTGCAGCACGCTGTGGGTGCAGGTGGTGCTAACAGGACGTCGGATGTGAATGCCCGTCTGGCCACGCCGTGTCCTCAAGTACATAAAGCTCCTCAGGCAGCTGCCTCTGGCAAAAAAAAAAAAAAAAGTCTAAATGCCTCTGACACAGATATGCAGAGCATAATTACCAGGCAACAGCCAAGAGTTTCATTTTGCAATTTGGCAAACTGCACAAATTAATTAGTGTTGAGCGATAACATTAGCTGAGACCTCCTTTCCAACAAGTGAATAACATTTAAGCTTAAGATTTATCTTTGAAAAACACAAGCAAGAAATCCCTATTCTTAGTTTTATATTTGTTTACATATTCTTTGTAATAGTGTTTTTATAATACACATGGCTTACTCCATTTCAAATCAATAAAGCTTGAAGAACAACAGACAAATTTGCTGAAATAAGAGATCAAAATATCAGTGTTCAAAATATAGCTTACAAAATTTTTCTTTACTAATTCAAACATTTACTGGGTGAATAAAAAATCTTTAAAATTGAAGCCTTTTAAGTATCAACGTGTATTAAAACTTTCAATATTATTCAAAGCATGCAAACATATCTTTTGGCACATTGGATGATAGTTCAACTGTTTCTTCAACATTTGTTGGTCTCCTAAATTTTCCAGCATTTTGGATAATTTTAGCATAGCGCCGTATCACATTCCCCTCTCTCTTAGCCCCCTTTTCATTAAATCACGCTGTTAATTAGCGTAGCGTTTAAACATCTCATTTCAGTCAGTTAGCAATAAATCGTTGTTAAACCAACACTGGCTGCCTCCCTCCTTCAATAAGGCGCCACCTGTTTTTTTTTTTTTGTTTTTTTTGTTTGTTTGTTTTTTTGTACGGAATGAAAATCATTGGTATATTAGTGTTCTGTTACTCTACAACATCTGTTGGTAAATTATATACCACATGTAAAGACATTTTCTACCAAAAAATTAGGTTGATCTGGTTATTGATATTGTACTGCTTTTATTGTGAGCACAACTGTGGTTCATGGAGCACTAAGCTGTTTTAAACATGCAGTGGAAAATCTGTTTTCATCTTTGCATTACATTTCTGTCCAATGATATCAGATGATGAAGTTAAAGAACTATTAAGGGACATTTTGGGACTTTATCTCGTCCCTTAGGCCTTTCTCCTCTCTTTGAAAAGTAGTAATCCTCAACATAATATCTCTCTCCACACCTCCTAAGCCCCTTGAAATGCACCAATTATGATTCATTATCCCGGTAAGTGAAGATGATTTTAAAGGAGCAGCGCCATGAACAATGTTTTATCCTAATGAGAGGAGATAAGGGGAGATAATAGAGGACTGCGGAGTAAACTTTGTGGCTGTAGTTTGAGAGGCAATTCAGTTCTTTCTTCTTTCCTGTGATAATGAGGCAAATTGGTGCGGTTTTCTTTCCAGTTTTGTTTTTATCTGTATCTATTGATGTAGCCACAAATCGTCTTGATGTTTTGATCCACTCTGTTTGCACCATTTGCTGCCACAGTGTCAGTCATGCATTGTGAATTAGACATATCTCTGCCTACTACATCATGCTGTCACATGAAGGAACCCGAGTTGCTGTGAACCGCCCCTCTCTGAGGCGTTGCATACATCCACACTGTAGTGAATGATGGGTGCGCGCATGCACTGCCAAACCTGGTAATGCATTGCCACCGAGATCTAGAGAAGGGCTTCATTCAACGTTGCAGTGCTGTGGGTGGGAAACAGGCTGCACTGGTGGCTGATTTACACAATCAACACAAAAGGAATTAGAATTTTCTTTTTCCCATTTCATTTTTTTTCCCCCATTCTCTTTCTCCCACCTTCTGCAGCATTCTCTCTCTGCAGATCACTGGTCCATGCTTTAAGAAAGATCCTGCATATTTTTGGGTATATTTTTAGCTTCTTGTGGAGTTGTCTTGGAAGCCTCTTGAGCACTGGGTTGAGTCAGCTATTGCGAAAATGTCAAGCTGCATTGGAGCACCAGTGGATAGATTGCGTATTTGTGCCATTAAGAATAATGCAATAAGGCATGATCAGATTTAGTCACATATTGACAGGTTTAGGTTCTGCATGCAGCTCTGGGAAAAGAGACCACTGCACTGAACCCCATTGAAAACGTCATGGTTATTCCACCAAATATCGATTTCTGAACTCTTCCTGAGTTAAAACATTAGCATTGTTGTTTCTAAATGAACATGGGCTTGTTTTCTTTGTATTATTTGGGGTTTGACAGCACTGCATCGTTTTTTTTATTTATGATTTTGACCATTTCATGTTTTCTGCAAATAAATACTAAATTTTTGCATGGAATATCTGAGACATGTTGTCAGTAGTTCATAGAATGAAAGAACAATGTTCATTTTACTCAAACATGCACCTGTAAAAAGTACAATCAAAGTCTCTTTTTTTTTTCCAGTGCTCTATAAGTTGTTGAGCAAAACAATTTTTTTAAACAAGATTTAAAAATGCATTATGTAACAAAGGTTCTTGTGCACAGGGGAAGTTGTCTTATCCAATAGTGTAGAAACAAATGACTATTTTTCTTTATGCTTCAACCTGGACATGGAAACAACAACCAATTATTCTACAGGCTTTAGTGGTCTAATTGGAGTATGTAGAGTTAAAGGATCCCTGATGTAGCTACCTCATTTAAAGGTAAAAATAAAATGAACAGTAAAATCCTAAAATGAAGTTGTTGCAAAACAAGCTGGCATGGAAGTAATGGTCTTGTTTGTGTGTGCTAAATATGTCAGACTGCAGCAATGGACCAATTGAAGCTGATCAATCTGTCCAATATCAGCATAAAAACTATTGCAATAGTCCAGGTAATTCGAGATGAAGGCATGCATGATGGTTTTTTAAAGATTTTTTTTTAGGCATCTTAAACATGCAATTATTCTTGACTCAGAAAAGGCATCTTTAAGGAGATCATTTATCTTTTCATATTTAATTTGTTGTCCATAACGTACAGGTGCTTTTTTAATCATTTACATGAATGGAACACATAAAATGCAATTAACATTGGTCTGATGTACCCCACATGACAGATGAGAGTTACGTAAAAAATTATGGAAACAATTGAAACATACACCTGCCAAATTGTTTGCCAGGACTTTTGATTGTAAAGAAATACAAATGTTCCTTTGCTGCTGCATGTGTATAAATGTTTCATAACATCTTTATCTACTTTCTTTAGTTACCGGGTTCATTGCAAGATAAAAGTTGTTCTCTTTTTCAATTAAATGTTCATTGCTCAACCTGAGGGAAAACTTGTAATGCATTTGATGCATCTTAAAAACAGACCAGTAAAAGTAGTTGTTTTATAAGTAACCCTACTCCCCTCCCCCCCAATCCCCACTCCCCCCCCACCCCCCACCCGAAAAAAAAAAAAAAAAAAAAAAAAAAACGTTTGGAAATAAATAGGTGCTTTGAGATTCTAGTAGGATGTTGCCCTGTTTTTTTTTTTTCCTCCACACATCTGACATTGAAATCCCACAGCCCAAAAAACACCCAGTAGGATGCTGCTGCACAACATTAATCATTCTGGAGGTTATCCAAGAGACATAGTAACCCTGGACAGGTCACTGGTCCATCACAGGGCCAACACAGTCACAGGAGACACATTCTGAAACTCACTCTTAAGGTCGGTTTAGAAGTGCCAATTCACCTGACACGGAAGTTATTTGACTGCAGGGGGAAAGCTGGAGGAGTCAAGCAGGCATGGAGGCAGCATGCAAACTGAATATTTCTTGCTGTGATTTTAATCATGAATGCAGAGTTTTGTAATCGTGCATTAATGATCTGTAGAAAGCATTTCAAAAAAAATTTCTGAGTAAAGCTACTGTATATAATTGTGTAGAGCTTGAAAACTCGAGCAGTTTTTCTCTTGCCAAGGCTTGCTATGCAACAGGAAGAGCGTTATGCAAAACGTCTGAGCTACATAGTCATTAAATATCAAGAACAATGTTGTGCACAAGCTTGATTCCCTTGAAAACAAAAAGAAATTGAATGCAGGAAATAAAATAATGAAAAAAAGAAGTTAAATTATTAAATAAAGGAAATAAGTCAAATGCCAAAAACACTTGACTACATTTTCTTATCACAATATGAAACAAAGTAGTTTATAAAAAGGCTTGAAACTGTTTTAGAGCTCAAGGTGATATCGATGCAATGCCTTACTTACCTAACGATACCCCGAAACACACAACTTATATTTCAGCCAAACTGTCACCTTTATTTATCTGTATGAATATAAATTGGTTAAGATGTTCAGCAATAACCCAAGACTAAATCCCACCATTTACTAGAAACTTCTACAGCATTAGTGCTACTATCCTAATGCAAGTCTTGCATTGTCAACCAAAGAAATCAGGAAATAAGCCACTGCTCCAAAATGAATACCTTTAAGGTCAAAAAGCTTCTTCCATGGACAATTGCTTTCTGAAGAAATGATTTCATTTGAGACGAGACAATGATGTGTTTTTAGCTACAATACAAGTGTAAACTGAACCCAGCCAACAGGACATTGATCCCAAACATACGCTGTTTCTGGAACGAAAAAAGCTTATTTGTGGATGAGTAAAAATTAAAATTCTTGCTTTTGAAATTCATTGTTGCTGTTGTATCAATGGTTAACCCCGAAAAAGAGCAGTTCGAATGGATCTCGAAAAGCTGAAAAATGTATTTCTTGTTTGAATTGTAATGAACAAACTGAGTACGTGTGGCTAGGACAAAGCACATAAAAGTATAGTTTGAGTTTGACAAAAGAAAAACAAAAACCCAGAGGCTTGTGGAAATCCCTCAGCTGGGCCTGAACATTGAGCACTGGGTACCAAACTGTAGAGAGAAATTCATTACATGTCACCCCATCGAACAAAGAAATGTGTGGTCCAAATTCGGTGTGTGCGCAAAACGGTCTTTAACCTTTAGCAGTCAAGCCTTACTGTATGGGCAATGAGCCAAGCTAATTCATTTGTAACAGTTTGGCAAGAGGCCTATAGTTAGAACACAATAGACTACATTAATGTAATGGGCCTTATCTGCTGGAGACGGCGAGTACCAGGCAGGCTGTTGAATGAAATGTCCAGTGAATGCTGGCGATATTCAATAAAAAAGTTATTTCCTCCTTTTTTCATTCACTATGAGCCACCTGGTAAAGTGATTTTAGATTCTTATGATTGGTTTCCTCTGTATTAACTGGGAGAGTATTTTCAAGGAGACACACAACAATGAGGATGCCTTGTACGCAGCAAACCTCTGCAGCTGCATATTAAACATCACACAGGAGAGGAGCAGCTAGCAGGCGTGTGTGATTTCTTCCCGTTCAAATTAGATTTTTAAGCCTCATAAAATTGCTTCGTGCGATTTGTTCTTTAGGATCACCTCCTCTGTTTAAGTTTACAGCTCTACATCGTCGTCATTAAGTCCCCACTGCACTTTCAGCAAAAGCTGTGGAGGATACCAATTAAGCGGCGCCGTTATTGCTGCAGTGTTCATTCATGTGCTGCTACTTCTGTTGCTCTCCCTGACTTCTGTAGATCACTGAGCTCCATAACATCAAGAACATCACGCGGATGCCACGGGAGACAAAGAAGCACGCCGTCGCCATCATCTTCTGCGATGACACATCCAAGACGTTTGCCTGCGAATCAGGTGACTGTCCTTTTCTTCGTGCAAAAATCTAATTAGCTGCTGTCAACCACAGTAGGGGGAAATAAGGGGAGAAAGGTTTTGCTCCTGAAGACGTGTTATGTTATCATAACACGTTTATTTTTTTTTTTTTTTTGGAAAAAAAAATAAATAAAAATGTGGTAGAAGAATGAAGCATATCAAAACAAAAAAAAAACAAGTGATGGGGCCATGGTGGATCTGTGTTTAGCCAAGTGATGCTCATTTGCCGCCATATTAAGAGGTTGGGAGATGGGTTCTGAAATATTGATTTTCATTGTGCAGGTATGAAAACCAATATTGGGCATAATTTGTGGTGTTTTTCAACCCTGTTATGCATTAGATGCAATCTCTATTGATTCTCAAGCTCTATTGAGCTTGAGAAGCTCCAGACCTTCTCAAACAAGTTGAAATAGCTTTATTAAAGCCTAAAGCTGGGCAAAGCAAATTAATCTATGTATTTTATTGTGCTATTTCACGCTAAGCTGATTTGTGGAGTTGGGTTCCCTGACTTTACAGAGATATGGATCTTATTCATGAATGTGGTTTTGATTCCCCATTTTATTTTTGTTTTGCCTTCTCACAAAAAAATATCTTTTAGCTTCCTGAGTTCTCATTGTGATATTTCATTTCAAAGTAGTACTTTCTTATGTTAATTCTCAAATGTTACGGAATGCTCCTCGCAGCCTTTAAACGCCATAGTTGACCTGTAGTAGTGAAATCACAGAACTGACATCCAACCAAATATAGATACAGATATTATTCACCCTGTTGAGTATTGACAAGCTCTCACGCTTGAACACACATTGCCTTTGGAGTGTTATTTGGTGGTTAGACATGTAGAAATAGCTGTGTTGAATTTAAGCTATTTATGTTCCAGGTGGTTCTGAAGTGAAACAAAAGTTGAATAACTAGAGAAAACACTGTATGGCCACTTGTAGGTACAATAGGCGCACAGTGGGTCTGTTTCTCTTGTTAAAGTACCAACTCTCCAGCACCTGTTTGGTGAACTTGTACATTAATATTTTTTTTAAGTTTTGAAAAATCTCTTTTGGCTATTTTTTCTTTTTTAAAACGTATTTTTGATACGAGATCGCACTCGGTTTGCATTACTCACTGAATGAGAGCTGGTTAATGCAAATTCATCTAAAACGTAACTGCTATAAACTAGTAGTTAGTGTGGTTTGCGGTAGTAATTGTAAAATCTTTGATGAAGAGCTCTGCAAGTCTGTCTCTGTCAAAAGCAGGTCTCCAGAGAATAGTCTTAATATTTAAACTAAAACTAAACTCGACTAACTTCGAGGTCTCTTTGCATCGGTAACAATTTCAGTAAAGAGCGTTTTTCTTAGTGCAACCCATAAGCCATGGAAAGACCTGTTGTGATCTCCACTGATCGCAAAAGATTTGTCAAACTGGCTAAGCTGAAAATCAGAACTGAGCATTTTCCCAGCTATTACATATTACAGAATTAAAATGGTAAACGTGTGTTGCGTAAGAACTCAATTCATAAGTTCCTAATTTGGCCTCCTGGCCTGCAATGTCAAACGGTGTGTTAATGCAACAATGATTGTGCTGTTATTCAAAGGCATCATTTAAATATGCATGAACAAAAAGGTTTTTTTTTGCATGTTTTATTTAGGGGGGAGAAAAAGAGTGTTTAGCAGTTATAAATCTCCCCTATTATGTTACTTTTAAAACACAAAAGCTTTGTTGCGTCCTCCCTAGCAGCGTGCTGTCAATGAGGCACGGAAGGAAGCGAGCGAATAAAATAAAATAATCGCGCATTTTTGACAGGTCTGGGTGCAACTGTCAAATATGCACATAAAGAAAGATGAGAGTGTGACCTTGAGTTATGACTACCATTGAGAATCTCAGCTCCTCAAAATCCACCGAGGAGTTGCCCCTGACAGATATGAATGCGAGCAGATATACATATTGTATCCGTCTGCGTAATGACTGCTGCTCTGCTGCCGGAAAACAAAAAAAAAAAAAAGTAAAGCGTCTCCTGATTTGATTCCTGCATACCTGACTCTGGCTTGCCGTGTGTTTGTAAACACTCATTAACGCAAAAAGCACCGTCGTGTTTTTTCCTCCTTCACTCACCTACACATGCACACGCGGAAGACGTCTTTCTGCCGCGTCTCCTGATGCGCCACAACGTAGCGTAGCCTGGACGCCGCTGTGCTGATGAAGTGTTTGTTTGGCTGACTTTCCACTCAGTGGCCTTAAAAAAGTGTGGGAGTTTAGAAACACTTAAAGGCCACAGCAAGGGGAGTTAATGAAAGCACGAGGAAAGAGCTGAATTGCCGGAGCTGCTGTGTTTCTGCTTCCTCCTGTGTGAATAAAGTGCTTCGAAAAGCCGCCAACCTTTCCTTAACCCTTCTGTCCAATCTGCATTTTCCAGTTGATCTAACAAACAGGCTGTTGCATAACGCCACCATTTACACCAAATGCTCCCCAGCGATTGAATGCCTCTCACACCCGTTCCGTAAGCTTTTGATCTATCTGTATTGATTGATAGAAATAAAAAGGGGTCAGTAATGGGTACAGTGCCACAGTTCCACTTCCTCTTAGACCTTCCCACATTATTTTCATTTTTTCAATCCAAACCTTGTTTTGCCAACACAAAGTAGCACATGTGATTGTGACATAGAAACAGTTTGGGAATATTTCGTAGAAACATTTTTTTGCTTTAATCATAGCTACAAGTTTTTGCATTACACCCAACTTTCCTCATCTGAAAAACATTGTCAGTGCCAGAGATTCTCAAATGGATATAGACCTGCACTTTGATTGGGCCATTTCAACACGTGTTCAAATTTATGCAAGGTATTAGATTTATGAATCATAAATTGTATTAGATTTTTTAATTTATTAATTGTACACTGATTAAAAGGTCACATACTGTAGCAGCACAATTAATAGTTGTTCTGTCATCAGAATCTTCTGCCTGAGCTGTGATCCATTTGAGTTACTGTGAGCCTCTTGGCTTCTGCTTGAATGTTTGGCTGACTACTATTATCAGTTTTTCCTCACCAACAAAAAGCCACTGAAATATCAGACACACGCTTTGAGATTGGAATACTGGAACCATTTCTTTAATGATTGGCTTCAAATTTTGTATAAATATAATTCTGACTTTCATATTTATCTACCAGTGAATGATAGCTGTAACTGTATTTTTTTTTTTTTGCCATGCATCACTTTATTATGAATACTCACTCAAGGGATTCATGTTTGTATGAAAGCAACTGCACTGACTCTGTACTGCTGTGAGCAGAGCTGGACGCCGAGGAATGGTGCAAGCTGCTGTGCGTGGAGTGCCTGGGTACCCGTCTCAACGACATCAGCCTCGGAGAGCCGGACCTGTTAGCAGCAGGAGTACAGCGGGAGCAGAACGGTGAGTGCCCAATTAGTCCCAGCTAACACACGCAGCTATTCGGGGTCAATCCCTCTCAATCAGCCCTCCTCCAAGCACTTATCTGTTGCGTATGGGGCCTGTTTGCATTAAAGCAGCCGAGACTTCAGAGGGTTAGGGGAGTGAAGCGGACAATGTCCAATTAGGCTCTGCTAATAAGGGCCATTTTTGTCAATATTTGATTTCAAGTCCCCTGTTGGAGAGTTTCGTTGTATGATCTCACTATCCTCCAGCTTTGGGCTTCAGAGGTTTGTTTTTAATGTGGGACGTCAAAGGAAACCTGCGTGTGTACGCGTGTTTGTGTGTGTGGAAATACAGGTCACAGGCTCTGGCAGGGGCTCTGTTCCAGGCCTAATGAGAAGTGCTGTGCATTACTGGCTTCCCTCGTAATGAAGCTTGTCATTGAGATGGATGAGATTATGGCTCCCAAAGCCGTGCGAAATAAATATATATTCCACTCTCAGAAAATGGGAATAAAATAAAAAAAAGAAGAGGAGGCACTATTGTGGAGCAGCTCATTCACTGTGTATAATTTGTAAAGTTGTGAAGGAAATTGAAAAGGCAACAGTCCAAACGGAGCAGTTTAGAGTTTTAAAAGAGCGAGTAATTGAAAAAAGAAGAAAAGAAAAACTTGCTTTCATTTTGATGGATTTCATTTCCCTGCAGCTATGAAGCGAAATTGTACCCCTCAACTATACTTGGCCTCTTTTATGTAAGATATCAGAGTGCAAGGTTTTGACACAACCCTTCTTTGGTTTGTTCAAATAAGGCGTTCAAGCCGTGCGACATTGAAGCTCCCTGAACCAGCACATTTCTGCTGCTGCTTTGAGTGAACTCAGAATCTCCAGCTTGTCGTTTAAACTTTCAATGCCTCCAGAACAGCAGGGGGCAGAGTTTATTTTTCCATACCCTAGAGTTAGTGAAGTGCCTTGGGAACATAGATCATGACATTGTCTATAAGCAGGGCGCTATGTTTCCGCTTTCTGGATGGAGAATTAATTGACAAATAAAACTAGATTCTGGAAGAGTCTACATTTTGTTTTCAGTATTCTCTTGGACTGAATAGAAATTTTAAAAAATGTTTATCTGTTCAAACCTTATTCCCCGTCACCTCGTTTAAATGGTCATTTGTTCCTTCCTGCTTTCCTGCCTTCATTCCCATCTCTTATTCCCTTGTTACTTTTCTTTCCCCTTCCTCTTTCGTTTTTTTAATTCTTTTTCTTGAGTCCTCATTTGTTTCTCTCTTTATGTCTTTGCTCCTTTCTGTATTTTCTTCTGTTCTGTCCTTATGACCTACCTCTCTTCCATCTGTCTTTCCTTTGCTCGTCCTTTGTTCTCTGATAGTATTTTTTTTTCAGTTTGCAGTTCTTGCTGTGTCATTATGATGTGACAAAGCTACAATTTTGCGATGAAGAAAAGCAACGAACCCAGTTGAGGAATTTCTTCCTCACATTATTTCTTCCTCACAACCTGGAGGAAAGATTCTCCTCTGAAAGGTTGCTCAAAATTATTTATTTAGGCAATTAATTCAAAACTTTGTTTTTAGGTCATCTTCTACTAGCTCCTTCATCGTAGGAAAGTGTGTATTTAAAGACGTTTGCATTGGAAAAACAAGCGAATTTAAGAACTGAAACCCATCATTAGTGACTGTATTGAAGCTCAGACTATATAATTATGCAATAGGAAGGGAATGGAATCACTTCAGCAAAAACACCTGGGCGACATGCCAGAGCAAGTTGATGAATTTGCAGTTGAAACCGGATATTTACATATTTTGTAAAAGCAGTTTTTAGTGTTTGGTAGAATTGCCGCTTCATCTGTGTGCCTTGGGTCGGATGATTTGGTGTCCTTCATGATATCAACTCCAAAATACCGACTTCCTTGTCCTTGACCCACTTTGTAAACAACTGGCAGTATGCTTGGGGTTATTGTCTTTGGAAGATCCACTGCTACCCACTCTTCAACTTCCTGGATGATAATTTAAGATGTCGCTTCAATATTTCCAAATCATGTCATTTATCCATTCAGTGATCTATTTTCTTTTTAAAGTTCATACCCTCACAACATGAGGTCCCCACACTCATGCTTCATGCTTCATAGTTCAGATGCTTTTCTCAAAGTGGCAGCCTTTCCTCTATTTTCCTCCACATGTAATGATGTTTGGCACAGACAAACACTTCAGTCTTAGTTCCAACAAACTACAGGACATTTTTCCGAAAATGAACGTCTTCACTTTTATGCCCAAGTGCATTTGAAGAAGTTAATCTGGCTTTTCATATTTGGAGTGATGGTTTCCTTCTTACTGAATGGCCTTCCACATCCTGTTGGGACAAGGTTTTTATTTTTTGCTTCTTTTTGTTCTGGGGTTGATTCGAAACACATTCAGCTTTGAGACACAGAACACATCTGAACATTGACATGGTGTTTTTGTTTGTGTATAATTGTGTAAACAGGTGAACGTGTCACCTTTAGGCATTTGGAAATTGCCCAAAGGTGTAGTAATAATCGTAGTGTATGTCAACTTCTGAATAAAAAAAAAAATGTAATAAAACAATCTCTCTGCTGGTTCTTTAAGTCTTTAATTTATAATTTATTAAACAGGGAATATTTTGGTAATCCTGAGTGATCTCAAGTTGGATCACTCTGATTTAGGGCTTACAAAATTAATCTGATTAATTGTGATGAACTTATTATTATCCAGAGCAAGGGTTAACTAAATATATCTAAAAATATTAGAATTAGAATAATTTGTGCATTCTTGTTTTGTCTTGGAGATTTTAGTCCATATAAATATATTTAGTAGCTGGCAGATGTTCAGTTGTAGCTAAAAAGACCAGAGATGCTTCGATCACAGTTTAGTGGGCCGACACCGATTTCTATTTGCTCTAAAGTGGTTTCTCTGATTGAACTTTAACTATGGTGTTCAAAACATGGATTTTCTACTTTGTTTATTTCAGAGCGCTTCAACGTGTACCTCATGCCCACGCCAAACCTGGACATCTACGGGGAGTGCACCATGCAGATCACCCACGAAAACATCTACCTGTGGGACATTCACAATGCCCGCCTCAAGCTCGTCATGTGGCCCCTCAGCTCCCTGCGCAGATACGGCCGGGACTCCACCTGGTTCACGTTTGAGTCCGGAAGGTGTGTGTGTGTGTGTGTGCTTCCGCTAGCTTGTGTAATTTAAATGCCAGCAGCAAGAGGGAGAAGCCCCCCCCACCAACAACAAAAAACAAAACAAAAAAAGCAATAACAACACATTTATGGAAACGCAATGACAACTTTTCACAAAGAAGCTTTGAAAACCAGGTGGGATATGTGCTGCTGAGGCCTTCAGGCAATGATGATGATGATGATGATGATGATGATGATGTGACAGACTTTTCTCTGAAACTGTCTCTATCTGTGTATGTCTTTTGCCTTCGGGGAGAGGAGAGAAGAGTCCACTTGCATTCGCCGTCCTCACTGCAGCCTTAACATTCAACCATGCATATTTGTAAATGAGCAATCTGAGAGTGAGCACAATCAAAGTGTGTCTCTGTGTGTGTGTGTTCTTGGCACAGGATGTGTGACACAGGAGAGGGTTTGTTTACGTTCCAGACCCGGGAGGGCGAGATGATCTACCAGCGGGTCCACTCGGCCACGCTGGCCATCGCCCAGCAGCATGAGAGGATGATAGAGGAGATGGAAAAGAGCTCCCAGGTACGCTTATGTGTTTTGGGTTTGTTTATCTCTTATCAGCTGCTGCATATGGCATTACTGTGGTTATATTTCAGAGTGAGTTCGTTTTATTATTCCTTACATTGCGTTCGTCACGTCAGTCTCAAAGAAACACAGAGAAGTGTGTATAAAAGCTACGAAATGGATTCACTTTCTGCTTGGATGATCAGAATTGTGTTTTTTATAGGGACGTGTAATTAAGAAGTCCTGACTTTGATCATAATTGTGTGTTGGACCAGGAGCTCTCAGACACCCCAGAGTTTTGGCCTTCTCTCCCTCCTTCCCTCACAACAATCATTCATCACTTCCTTCCTTCCTTTTCACTGTCATCTGCATTCTTTGTTTACATCGCCATGCCCTGTGTCTGATGAGCCTTGACCATATGGCCATTCTCCTGGACCCTGCAATTTAGGGAACATTTCCAAAAGCAGCCGCTGTCAGCGATAAGAACTGTGCGTACATTGCAATTTGTTTTGGCATTGGTACACTTTACATCTTCAAAGTTTCTTTCTGGAATGTACAGCGCCTTGCAAAAGTCCCCTTACCACTTTTTCCACATTTTCTCACGCTGCAAACACAAACTTCAATGTATTTTATTGGAATTTTAAACGAAGTAGGTGCATAATATATAGTGCACAATTGGGAGGTGGAAGAAACAGTAAAAATCAATGAAAATTTTGATTCTAATTTGTAGTCATAATTCAGAGGAAGCACTTTCCCTCAAAAGTCGCAACAGAAAAGCAGCCAAGTGATCTATGGTAACTCTGGAGGTGCTCCAGAGAGCTTCAGCTCAGGTGGGAGAATCTGACAACAGGAGTCCTATTTCTACTTGTTGTGCACTCTACAAATTTGAGCTTCAAGAATTTTGCAGAGAAGATAGGCTAAAGAAAAGAAAAATCTGTGTCTTGATGTTCAAACCTAGCAAACACTTTCTCAGCCTGGAGATATGCAGCTCAGCCTTCAATATGTGCTACTATTCACACCTCTTCATGCGTTGACAAATGCAGATCAGCTTTCTCCCGAAAGTGACAGAAAAGTGAGATGCACTTCTCTCTGACTCTGTCTGTTTCAGTTTCACTCCAGAGAGACGCTAACCAAGTCCATCTCCCTGCCACGCAGTGCCTACTGGCAGCACATCACGCGCCAAGCCAGTGTGGGGGATCTCTACAGTTACCAAGGTACACGGGAGAATTTACTAATTATCAAAATCACCGTGAAGCTCTTCGACTTTGGAACTACACTGAGACGGAGATCATAACAAACACGGCTAATGAGGACTTTTACAATGACTGAGCTTTAGCTGCGCTGTGCAGAGAGTGCATTCAATACATAAAAAAGGTAATAAAATGTTTATGTATTTTGATGATACTATTTAAATTTTTATGTAGATTATGACAGAAATGTATTAAAGGGATTTATTACTTTGGGGATGGTAATTTCTTTGCTAATGAAAACCCAAAATTTAGTTTATCAACAATATTACATTAGAAAAATAAAAGTAGGATTTAAATGTAGCAATTATTGCCTGTTGAAAAGTATATCCATGTATACCAATACATACTCAGGGTTCATTTTGTTGTACCCACAGTCCATCACTAAAATTTGCTTGGGTTTGCTTCATAAGCATGTTATTGTGCACCATTTTCACCAAAAATGTTTCCTTTTGCTCAACTTTCACTTAATGTGCTTCAAATAGCACTCTTTATTAGTCACTGTCGTTGCACTTTTTGATGCAACGACACCTTCCGTCAACCTTTTTGGTGAAGGTTTTGGATAATACAGTGGTTTCCAAAGTTGATGAAAATCAGCCAGTTGTGGGTCTTGAGAACCTCTTAAGAAATCAAACTAAAAAACGAAAAAGATAAAAAAAGAAACAAAACAATATATTGTTTTTAATGCTGTTTGTGTTGTTATTATGTCCCTATTTGATTTACTTACCAAAATGTTATTCATCCACTGGTGTAGGCCATAACAAGGTCATGGCATTACATTTCTCATTAAAATTCTTTATGTAATATCATACTTTTCTGAGAAATTGAATTGAATTTGGGTTTTCATCAGCTGTAACCTATAATCACCATAATTGACAGAATTAAAAACATAAAATTCATCACTCCAGTGTAATGACTCTTTGAGTTTTGCTCTTTGATTTATATGGTTAATTATTTTTTTGTGATAATCTAATTAAAAATATTCAGGCTAGAAACAAAACAATGAACAGAAAAGAGCACCTAATATTACAAAGAAGTATTTATCTTATCTTATATAAGAAATGTAACAACTTTTATTACTACTTTTTGATCGCTGCTCCTCCCATTGGTTCGCAGCTAGACCTGGTTGTTGCCATGGACATTATTTACCGATTCGTCCTGAAGTGCCACACGTGGGAACCCAAGTCACGTTTTTTTGCGTTGTGTGCTGGCAGGCCATTTGTGCATTTTAGCAATATCGTTATTCTCAGGAGTTTAATCAGAAACGCTAAATGAAACTAACTGGTTTTATAACAAAGGCCAATTAGTGTTTAAACATTGTTACAGCAGGTAAGCATAGACATTTTAATGTCTGTTTGTTTCAGGAGTGGTTATTCAATTCATTATAGCTACTTTTTTTACCTTGAAGTTAGGGTTGTATTAATCGAAACGTTAACCTTTTTACATAACAAGAAAATGGGGAAAAAAAGTGTTTAGTTCAAACTGGGTGGGCATTTCTGGAATGTTTGTTGGATTGAAATTAATTTTCCAGGAAACAGTTATGTTCTTGCCGTACGCAGATCTTACTCATGAGCAAGGGGTGTTTGTTATTCTCTCCTAGTTTCTGTGAAGGTTAGTTTCTGTTTAAAAGAAGTGAAAAGAGACCCAGCATTTGACATTTTCCTAAATCTCTATCCTATATTGTGCTACGCGAAACCTTGACCCATGACAACAATCTGGTTCTGCTTGTGGATTATTTTAAAGCTACAATGGAGAAAGTTGCGGTGGGAGACGTGGGTTACCAGAAGGATCAAATTGCCTCTGTGAAGTCATCATGTTTGTAAATTTGCTGTGCAGAATTATCCGGCGGGCCTGCACAGACAAAAACAAAGCATTTTCATAACTTCATTTGAAAACTGTTTGTTGGATATGTCAACATGTCCTTGTTTTTCTTTTTAAAAACAAGGTCTTACAACATCTGCTGAGTAAGAAAGCACGGTGAAGGTAGACTGATAATGTGGGCTGCTTGTCGGAGCAGGAATAAGACACCATCAATAACAAGAACGCCCTTTCCTATGTTTACCTCCATCTCACTCAAGATTTGAAGTTGCCTGTGACTATCAACTGATTGTAATTAATCTACAACAAATGCATTCAACTGACCACAAATACATTAATAATGCAGCAGCTACTCTGTAGCATCCAAGGATGGCACTATGTGTTTTCCATGCTCATTTTCTGCACATGTATGTAAGGAAGTGTAAATGTGAGAGTATTTGCACGTTATATGAGACCAGAGGCAGGAAGCTGATTAGTGAGCTGATGCGATTATCCTCTGTCCATGGTATTAGTTGATTAGAAGACTTATCTGAGGATTATGGGCCTTTTGGTTTTCACTGATAGAGCAAAAAAAAAAAAAAAAACGAAAGCCAGGCAAAGATGAAAGTCGCTCTGACGTCATCATTTTCTTTTTAAAAGTGAAGACTGTTATTTTCCCCTCTCATTATCATTTAATTGTGTCCTGATAAGCTTGAAAGCAAGCTGTGAGCTTTCTGTTCCAAACATCAACATGTTTGTGCATCGCAAAAAAACCAACCGGTAGAAAACGTTCACCTCAGGGTTAATTCTTCGCCGACTCCCTCTTTGCAAAGACTGCTGCCAAACTCATGCTCTCTAAACTACGGAAAGCAGACGAGCTTCTCGGTGATCCATCACCTTGGCACCTCGGTCCTCCCACACTTTCCTCATGTATCTGTCCGGTTCGCAGCAACCTTTCCGCAGTCTTCTGCTCATATGGATGCAGCACTGTCATTGCGTCCCCTCGTTTCCCATGAATAAATTGAACGCATCAGTGTGTTTGAGGTCCTGTCGAACAAGGAGGTCTAGAAGGTGATTCGTGGGGGGTGCTGAGAGTTTAATTCAAACTGTGACAAGTGTTTGGACTGCAAAAAGCCACAAGAAGACACACAACTTCTTTATCACGGAAACAGGTCATTCTGGGATGAATCCAACCACAGAATTACTTAATCGATTCCGCCTGGACAACAGGTCTCCAACTTTTGGGAGGAAATTTACATCCTGTTTCTGTATGTGGACATACAAGAGGCACAGTGGTTTGTAGCCTCTGCTTCCACGCATAGAGGTTATTACCCTACAGTCTACCCAGCATCTTTTACTCTGATACTCTTAAATAAACATCAAAAATTTGGTGATTTTATATAATTTTAATACACTATTTTCTATTTTCTTTAGAACAGTGTCTTCGCACATAATGGTATCTCTTATAACGATGTGTAAAGTATATTTAAGTAAATCAGAGACTCCATAGTAACTTTTGGAGATCACATTCCCTCAGCCACTCCTCAAAATGGAAAATACATGCCATTAAATAAAGGTATTGTTTATCTTACCAAAAAAGGAAACAAACAAAAAAGACTAAGACTTGATCAAATAAAATACCTAATTTCATAAATTAGTTATAATAAATTCAATCTATTTAAGAGTTGCAACAAACAGAGTTTTCTTAGGCTCAGAAAGAGACCATATCCACCCTTAGACAAAATGTACATGCCAACTGGTTGTTGGCATGTACATTAAGTGAACAATTTTATATGCTATTATTACAAATGAAACTTGCCAATTTGCCAAATGCCACTGGAATCATGAGCTTTGATAGGATGAATCTAAAGTTGACCTTTATGCTTAAAGCACTTCATTCCCACTGCCAGCGGTGGACGATCAGTGATGTTGTGGGATTGTTTTTCTTCCAATGAACTCTTGGTATAGTGCATGGCATCATAAACAAATTTTACATCTGATGGTCTTTGACAAGAGAGCAAAACAGGGGTTGTCATTAGGTTTTTCAGCAGGATGATGGAGCAAAACATCTGGCCAGATGAAGACAGTAGACACCACCTTCCTGGCCACCGTAGTCCCCAAACTTAAATGCTTTTGAAAACCTGCAGGGTGAGCAGAAATGGAGGAGCCAGGACAATCCAGAGGGATTTTGCTGAGAGGAATCATCAAAGGTCCTTGTGCCTTTGACGATTGCTGACATAGAAGGAGAATAAGGCAGAAGATTCCTATAGAAATAACTTCATTTTAAATAACCTATCTAAAATTAAAGGCAATGCTTTTTGAAGATTCTCAGTGTAATACTGTGCTACTGTGATAAAAGCTTAATTCATTTTAAGTCTTATAACATCCCTGTTTCAGGGGTGCCAAAAAATATGAATGTTGTTGGCACTGAGTATTTTATGCTCCTCTTAAACCTAACTTAATCAACATCAATACATATACATGAATTTTACTCACTATGTGCTCTAATTTATCCCTGTATAATGACCAGTGCTAACTTTTGAACTGTACACTTATAAAATAGTCCCTCTGCTCTCAATTTGCAGAATTTCACATTTGGACAGTCAGACTACAGGTTTGTTTCTTTTCTGTACCTCATACTCATTCTGTTTGCGATTACACATAGAATGACCTTAAGTGACTATTCCAAGTGTTCATCTTCTATTTGAATGCACTAATTTCTGCATACCTCTTGCACACTGAAAAGTCGTAGATGCAGTGTCCCAGCCGACTCGATATTTGAATCAACTTAAATGGCTTGAATTAATTTAGAATTGAAGCAATATTTCCAAGTAAATATGGGTTTTCCCCGAATGATAGTGCCGCGCTAAAGTGTTCATACTTAATGAACTTTACCACATTACGAATGCAAACTTGATGCATTAAAGAACCACATCTTGCTACATCTAAGGGTAGAAGGGTATTTCAACACTGGCTTTGAAACATTTAGAGAAATGTACACTTTGTTTTCACTTCAAAGTAGCCATATGTGGCTGTGGCTGTATGTTCAGGTTCGTTGTCCAGCTGAAAGGTGAACCTCTGCCGAAGTCTCAAGTATTTTTTCAGCCTCTAGCAGAATCAACCAGTATATATTTCAATTCATCTTCTTATCAGCTCTGACCTGCTTCCCTGTCCCTGCTAAAGAAAAGCATCTTCAAGGCATAATGCTGCTAATGTTGACCGAGAATAGGTTTTTTGGGGGTTTTTTCATGGTAAAGGGTATAAAGGGCATAAAAATAACTAGTGCTGCATGCAAATACATGATTTGGATTTTTATTCCTACCAAAACAAGAAAACAAAAACATGTTGCTATGCTACTTCATTTCAAAATGTGCTATTTAGCATTGTTCAATCACATAAAATCCCTCAAACTACAGTTCAAATTGTGGTTGTTTGTAAAGAAAAAAAAAAAGAAAGGAAGAAAAAGATCAGCAATCATTCAAATCTGAGGGGAAAAAAGCACTTAGCATTTTAAAAGAAATATACACATTATGTAACAAAAAAAGAAAAAAAAAGGTGAAAGTTTAATGCTTCATTTCTCTCCAGTTTTGCCATTATTGTTATAGTGTCATTTATTTCTCAATGGCAGTCAGAAAACAGGTTTTCTGGACCTCTGTGGCTGGCTGTGTTTGCTCCTTGGCTCTTTCAGCTCACACATGATGAATATCCAATCAGCACAGTCAATTTGCTGAGTCATGCTTGGGCTGCTTTCAAATACCCTGTGGGTATGGAGAAATAATTAAGGAACATGGCTCCTTTTCGCCCTGTTGAGGTTGATTCACCTGTTTGTTTGCTTGAGTTATCGGGGAACCAGGCACTGAAGAAGCAGAACTGATTCATTTTAATATGTTTTTACATCAGATTTCTTTTCTGTTTCTGCAGCTAAAAATGTCCTAGAAATCCCTCCTAGAACTTTTGTTTACTACGATTACAAAGCAGAACAGAGCGTATTAGAAAGATGTCAGATAAATGTTTTATTCCCCCGGAAACTTGCAGTGTATTCTCCATGAATACAATATATCTACTTTCCGCTGTCTTCCACCCCTGCTTTCCTAATGGGATTCACTCGTTTGCATTTCAGTGAAAAACTGCCATTTTCTCCAGGTTTGCTGATGCAAAGAAATAAGTGCACTTTAAAGTTTTGGAGCCGGAGAAGCAAGTTACCATGCCTGTCAGAAATGGTTCAATTACCAGCTTTCATACTGGAAGGGAAAAGGGACTGTAATCCATACGTTCTTGTCGTTGCTGTTTTTTGTTTACCCATTTACAAGTTGTCCCTTCATCCTCCTGCTCACTCCGTGCTTTATTGCACTCCAAAGTTTACTGCTGGAGCATTAGCAATTCTAATGAAATGGAGCGCTGTACTCTGTTTGATCCGCCCGGGGGTGATACTAAAGGGATTTTACCAAGAGGTGGAAAGAATCAAAAGACAGAATGATGGAAGAACAGGGTGATGACACTTCCCTGCCTTCCAGCAGGCAGCGTGAACAATATGTAGATGTAGATGCAAAATATGAACTTCTAAAAGAAAATTTGCGAATGGTAGATTTCAGTTCAGCTGTTTTGTTCTGGATTAATTTATTGTCAAACTTTATGTTGACTAAATCAAGTTTTTGACAAGAGGGCAAAGTTCAATCCATCATCTGACAGTCAAAATAGTGTAGGGATTGCAGCAACCAAAACAGGATTGCCTGGCAGGCAAAAAAAACCAGAGCATTAATCAGAGAAGCACTTTAGAGGACCATAATGACTCTGGAGGAGCTGCAGGTCAGAAACCCAGAAAAGTTCCATTCGTAGTTTACCATACACCATGTAGGAGATGCATGGAAAACGGTGCTCTGGTCAGGTGAGACTAAATTTAACAATTGGAAAACGGTGCTCTGGTCAGGTGAGACTAAATTTAACATTCCTGGCCAACATGCATCACCTGGATGATGGGCTCTGTCATATAAAATACCAGCAAAATAAGGCACAGGAGCTGCTATCTCACATAATGTAGAGCCTGCGTTACATGGAGCGTCTCAGATGTTGCTAGACTGCCATCTGGGCAGCTACAGTTGGAGGAAGGAAGGTGTGGACAGGTGTGTGTCAACATGCATGCATGAATAGCTGCTTGTGTATCCAGGTCTGTTGTTTCTCCCTCTTTGTGTGTCTGTGTGTGTGTGTGTCTGTGTGTGTCTTCTCGCTGCCTGTCCTGTCTGCTCTGGCCCAGCAGCTGCCACCCCAGGCCAGATAGGACGACATGACCTTCCCCAGTAATGAAAAGGCACTGACAAATCACTGTCTGCTTCTCATAGTGTGAGCGCAGGAGGAGGGATGCTGACGCCAACATCATCCCGCTCTCGTCTCCTCTGTGCGGTTCTCTGTGGTTTTGTTGTTATTTTCTCGCAAGTGTGTCTACATGTTTGTCTCTCGTCCAAAAGCAGGGCTCTCGTCGGGGGTCTGTCCCTAGACAGCCGTGTTTATGACTGAGAGGATGATGGGCTCTGCTTCACCCTCTCCTTCCTGTCTGGGCTCAGTGCCTCGCGTCTTTCTGTCTCTCTCTCTCTTTTTTTTTTCTTTAGCCTTAATTGGCCGTGGTTGAGGAGAGGGATTGTCTTGGCAAAGATGTGAAAAGGATATGCCTGGTTGCACACCAGTCGTTTCAGCGATCTATTAAATTCAACTTGCAGGGAAGAGAGGAGCGTTCCTCCATCTTTACCCCCGTCTCTGTGTTCCTGCAGCATGCGCTGAGCTGCATTTCTAACTTGGTATTTCTCTTTTGTTTCAGGGAGTGGTGGAGAGGAAAGACTAACAGACAGAGGTGTGTGTGCATGACTCACCTGCCGCCGAGCATCCCATTTCATTCTCATCCTCACTCACACCCACGCCAGCCCCTCCGTGCCTCCTCCCACTAACCGTTCCCTCCGCTCACACATGAAAATGCTTTTTCTGTGTTTTTCATTCTCACTTTCTCCTTCTCCTTCCTTGCATATCACCCCTTCCCCCAAACACCTCTTTTTTTATTTTTATTTTTAACTAGACTTGTCTCTCCCTGTTGCTCTGACACACACTCGCCCTGTCACTTGACACTGATTACCAGCCTCACTGGGTCATGTTGTATTATATATTCCAAGTCCCAGTTGGTGGAGTCATGGAAGCAATCCCGGTAAATAAACACGTACAAACCACCAACTTCCAACGTTTTAATTGGGATTTTATGGAATAAGCCAACACAAATAACTGGTGCTTTAAAGCGGAAGGGAAATTATACAGTTTTATAAACAGATGAATGAAGGTACTCTGGTGAGATGAGGCTAAATTTAACATTTCTAGCCTGTTGCAGGGCTGTTTGTTTATGGGGGAAAATATAAGTATAATTATTTACATTTGATTTTCAGTTTGGAAAAACAATGTATTTGTAGAAGAACAGAAGAGAAGGCCTAAAAAAAGTCCTGCTTCAAGTCTACCACAAGCAATGGGAGCATATGTGATATAAGGTGCACTGCATGGTCAGATGAGACCAAAACCATGTAAACAAAAAGGCAACACTGACATGGTGAGAAAAAAAACATGCTGCCACCACCAAGGCAGCATGGTCCTTGTCTTAGGTGGAAACAAGAGTCCTGGTGGTTCATGAAAAAACCCTGAATATACACCCAGAGCACAGTCACGGCTTACAATGGTCCAGTCAAAGTCCAGTTCTAAATCCAGTCGGTAATCTGTGACAAGGCTTGTAAATCATTTTCTCACATTTCACTGAGCAAAAAGAGCAAAAAGAAAACTGAGAAATTGACGAAGATATAAATTTTCAGGTCTGTAAAACTGCGATAGAGATATCGTCCAAAATGCAGTGAAAATGCGTTACTGCAAAACGAAACACAATTTGCATATTTCTCACTGCAAAACTATGTAGCATCTTTCTTTCACTTCTCACAGCCTCTGTGCATAGTTGTGAAGCTATGCCCAGAAACAACATGAAAGCAGATTTATCACAAGAAACTTAAGTAAAACACATTGAGGGAAGTCTGTGGTTGTGTTGTGACTGAATGCGTGAGAAGCTGTGTGTGAATACTCGTGCTTTTGGATTTGCCCAGGTTCCAGTCTGATTCAGTTATCAGCTCCTTTTTTGCATCTGCAACAGTTCTGGAGTTAAAAAGAGCAATATTTTGAAGTGCAGCCACTTCTCTTGGCCGGCTTTGTTAGCATGAACTCGCCAGGTTAAAGTTTATAATAGCGTTGTGTTCCTTTTTTTTATTTATTAATTTTTTTTCGTACCTCCTTAAATATTGATCAGTGGCCACTTCCTCCTTGTTTTTGTGCACCGTCAGCGGCTTGCCAGTCGCTTTATCCTCGGCCCACCTCTATGTGCACACTTCCAAACAGCGCACTAATGTATTATTAATGCTCTCACGGTTAGACAGGAGCAGCCCTTCGCCGTCGAGTATCCATTACTCCCTCTCAGTGCATTTAACCGATATGAACTGCGGAGCAAATTGGTTCAATTAATTTGAATTAAGGTGCGGAGGGAGCCGGCAGGACGCAGGCCTAGGAGAATGACGCAGGGAAATGAAGCTGTTCAACTGACAAGAAAATCTAACTTGGACTAAAGTTAGATTTAGTCATAAATCATAAGAATCTATTGCACACTAACGCATTAGCTGCCTTTAAAGGCACACAGAATTTACAAAATAATCCTAGTGTGGGAACAGTCATTGTGACGAACTCCTAGGGACAGTGAAGTGCACATTGACGTTGCAGATGTTTCCAGTGGCTTGTTTCAGTTTTTATTTATTCTGATAGGAATCTTTTAAAGAATATTCTTCGATGTGTTCAGCTGAATTGTTTTTTTTTGTTTGTTTTTTGTTTTTGTCCCCCTCAACAGGAGCAGGGCTGTCAAAGACCTTTATCCCCCGGGCACAGACGTTCCCCAGCTTTCTGTCTGAGCAGGAGGAGAGGAGTCACCGCCACCAAGAAGAGGCGCCGTCGCCATCTAGTGGCTGCGAATCCAGTTGCAGCCTCGGACCGCTTCAATGACAGGGAGCAGCTTCAGCAGCTGTGGACACTCAACCCGTCACTGTAGAGAGGATTCAGCAATCTGTATAGTGATACGTGTAATATACCTATAGAAGCTGTAGAAGGATCCTCCTGGAGGATTGTGAATTGCGACTGCAGAGTTAGCTTCTAAAAGTGCACCAAAAATCCTCTATGTGTTATTTAAAGTGTTTCTCGTCGCCATTGTTCTGTTTAACTCTGCATGACTTTCTACTTTATTTTATTATTTTTTTAAGGCAAAGCACTTGGAGAAAAGTTAAAGGCACTATTACCTAAATATCTGCTGTAAAACAGCTTTAAGAAACTTTTTTGTCTGAAGTTGATGAAATAACATCAGGCGTAATCCGGCAAGGTGCTGCCTCAGCAGCCAGTTCAAGAGAAACTCCACTAGTTTTGACACAAATCCCTCCCTCGCCTACCCACCGCTCCCCCCGTCTGCTTTGTCGCGAGAATGTGAAATCGATCAATGCCTCACACAACAAAACAGCTTGATGTCCATGGCAGCGATGAATCAGCTAAACTTTTCTAATCAGCTTCAACCAGCAAAAAAAAAAAAAGTCATTCATAAATGGGTTGGGGCGGACCGTCGTGTCAGAGATGATGAAAAGCGCAGCCCTCCTGCAGCCTCTGCTTTAAGCTGCTGGCATTACTCTTCACTACAGCAAATTGACTTTAATAGCATCTGAGCTCTTCTGAAGCTCTGTCTGTCAGAAGTTACTGATAAGCCGTTCATTAGCAGAAAGGTGTTAAAAAAAGGGTCACCCGATGGGATGATGGGTTATGCAAACCAGAGATAAAATTCATATTTGGGGTCCATAATAAGCTAAGAGAATGTTTCTTGAGGAGGAAAACATGACATCAGGCATTCAGGGAAAGTTGTTTTTGATGTTTTTGTGTCTGTGAAAGAAATATTTGTGATTCGGCACAACCGCAAATATAAGCCTTTCCAGGGTTCCAACTGGTGAAGCATGGAGTTAGTTTTTATCACTTCTAAATGTTTACATTTCCAGGACCTTTTCATTATTCCGTTGTCAAAAGCTTTTCATCCTGCATACAAAAATTGATGTGCAGCAGAAAAATTAACATTGAACCCTGAATTTACCACTCTCTAATGTGAAACGAGATGGTAGCAGCATCATACCGTTGGGATTCCTTCACAATTTCGATCCTATTCCCAATAAAATACATAAAAGTTTATTGTAGCAATGTGAGAAATTGTGAGCTTGGCTGTTCTGGACTATCTGAGACCAAGATTTTAAACAAATATCAAGTCAAGTTTTACTAAAATGCAGAATAGAATCCCCACTTCTTATGTTTTATTTTTTTAATCATGATTTGTAGAACATAAAACTCAGATAAGCAGATGCATACCTCTCCAATGAGCACATCGTAATAAAGATAGCAAAAAAAAAACTTTTTACTCACTCAATTAACCAACTCCTCTACTAGAAATTACACTGAGTAATCTGCAGTTTCATTGTCCTACTCTGTTTTGCTCGTATTTCCTGCCTTTCTCACCATCATTACTGTCAAACAAACTCCTAAAATGGTTAAAATAGTTTAGAGAACATCATTGATCCAAGAATTAAGTGACAGAAAGGCAGGACAGAGACAGAAAGCCTCAATTACGAATCCATCTGTTCCTGCAGCTCTTCTGACAGTGCGGCGGTATAAACAATACTTGGTAGGCTTCTGGTGTTTTGGTGTCTTGGATCATTCATTTCAACTTGCACAATATGTATGTCAAACAGAGAATCAGTCAGCCAGACTTTTTTGTGCCCACGGTCTCTGCTAACAAGAGGTCATTGAAGGAGAAACGGTAGGTTAACAAGGCAGCGCTGCATTTTACTAACAAGATACATTTCCTCTTCCCAGTGTTTATAGAAAAAAAAATGATTTAATGATTCTTAAAAGTGAGCCTAATGCAAAGTACATTAAATGGGAACTTTCTATTGTAAAAGAAATACCTGGTCTATTGTAATATGCCCCTTTCTATTTTCTTGTTGAGTTTAAACACTAAGGGTGTAAAGTAGAGACTAATGTACGTTCCGCTGATCTAAACATAGCAACAACTCTTAATGAGGAGCCCCTTTGTTAACTACAAGGTACTAAAGGAGTGAAAAATGGTTCAAAGAAAGATACAATAAGTCCGAGTTGTTTATTGGTTTTGCAAACTCCCCAGATGTGGTTTAATGGCATCTGTGGAGAACGGTTTAGGTTCAATACTCATAGTGTGCACCTATTGGCTAATTACTACTGTAATGTTTGGATATATGAGGCTTTCATATATCCAAACTGACATATATATATATATGAGTGCCCCATACAGATTAGGCTCTGAGATAATATGCACTAACCATACTAGGGCTCACAATAGCTTACCTTGATTTATGAAACAAACCCAGATTTGTAAAATCAGTTAGCTATTTCGTATAGCTCATAGCTGGGGGGAAAAAATTGCCTGTCACCACTATTTCTCATATTGGTTATCTTTGCAGTACAAGGGCCTCTAAAGAGGCTCATAAGGAAGCTAAATTTTGCTCTATTATGTTCTCATTGCCAAGCTCTACTGTATTGTGAGTTCGATAGCTCAGAAACAGATATGGTATTAATCTCCTTTTAACAATACATTGCCTAAAACTTTGCTAAGCTATTTTAAAACGGTGAATTGAAGTATCTCATGTGTTAGTAACAGAATGAGCGAGAGAAGGAATGTTAGCAGTGTAGTTAAAATATGGGAATAATACTAAATCCTTATTCTGTTGAATGAATCAAATATATTTTTTCAAAACACACAACTCTACATGATAAAGACTAGTGCCTTCAGATGCTGACCACGGATGGTGACAGCCAACCAAAGCAGACACTGGACTCTCTAAGTTAGCCATTGTTACCTTAGTTTGTGATTTACTTTAAAAACTAAACAACTTAAGAAGAGTTTTGGAAATATTCTCGACCATGTGCCATGAGACTAGGACTACATTTTCGACTGTACTGTCCACCATCACCAGAGATTAGGTATGGGCTGGTATGAGATTCTCATGATGATCTTAAAATATTAATTATCTACGGTAGTCACTGTGGAAAAAAAAAAATGTTTTACCCAAATTAACTGATCATATTTAAAAAAAGCAAGGCAACTCTAGCTTAGTAACCTTAAAGTGAAGGCTGACTTTTACATCTGGACGATAAATTATTCTCTCATCAGAAATATTTTTTAAAAGAATTCAAGCATGAGCAAAAAACATTTCAGCTTCAGTTTAGCCAGATGTCCTAGTGTACAGGACTGAGTGGGGGAAAGGCAACCCTGATTTAGCCTCAGAAAACTCCAATCACTCCCAAAGATTTTCCTGGCTTCTTAAGAAAAAACAGGAATGGTAGGCTATGGCGAGACATTTTGGACTCTGGTACCTGGCCCATGCCTATATTTAGTGCAGAGATTGAAGGTTTTTCTCCTGTTTTGCACAGTTAAGGGGGAAAAACAAAATGGTTTTCATTGACAATCAAATGTAGGCTGCCAAGCAGTTTTCTTCACGTTTGAGTCCTTTTGTTGTTGATGTTGTCGTGCCACCGCTTCATGCCCACTAATTCACTCCTATACCCAATTAGTTGGAAAGTTACAAGCACATTTTGTCTTAAGATACTTTTGTTTTTTTTTAAATGTTGATTTATTTATGCTTTAACAAGCATTTCACTTTAGAAAGACATATGTTGAAACGTTGGGTCACAGTAGTGCCCTAGTTGTCTTGTTTTAGTTGCAGTGTGGTGAAATGTATGTGGAATAGTCCCTTTCTGTTTGGGGTTGCACTCACTGAATCCCCTGGATAAAAGCTACAGCTGATTCTGCTCATTTGCCATTTTTTTTGTCGTTTCCTGTATTCATTTGTTTGCAGAGATGTCGTTATGTTTTGTGTTCCCTAACTTTCTATGTTAATAGCACTTTGAATAAACTGGTTAGGACTGCAGTTTTCACAAATGTACATATGTAATGTTTTTGATGAACATAAGGGTAATAAATTGAATGTTCATACTATAGGGGGGTTTAGAATACATTTGGGGAAAGCGAAAAGTTACAACCAGTGGTGGTTTTTGATATGGGCAGTTACCCCGGGTGGTATTAGAAAAGGGAGCCCATACCAAAAAACAATCTGTTGGTTGTGTCTTGGTCAATTCTTTTATTGCTGTTATGGATGGGAAAACATTGGAGTTGGTGTTTTATGTGAATTGCTGAAATAAGTTTTCTTATGTACTCACTGAAGGACTGTGCCACATTCTATTTAGCTCCAGAATTGTCATGATTTCTTGTTTTTGGGTGGAGTTTACCTATGGTGCCAAACATGCCAGAACCACAGCTAAAAATGTGTTTTTAAATGTAAAGCAAGTCCTACAAGACAGAAACCATTTTGCTTTGAACAGAGGCAATGGTCTCACACAATCAAGCCTGCACTCCTGTACAGAGGCAGACTCATTTACATCTTGATTCATGTGGCCTTTGTTTTTCACGTTTCAAGTAGGTGAACAACCCACAGGAGCCAGTGCCCACTAGTGTGGTAAATCAGATCAGTGACACAAGTGTGACACCAACCTCTCTTAAGGCATAAGTCGAAGGCGTCTCAATCCTAGAAACGAGAACCGAGGAAGCCCTGAAAGTAAACATGTCTCAAATAACCAACAGGAAATACAGTGAGTGTCTTTAAATATGAAGGTTTGCGCCGTTTCTAAAACGTTCTTCTTCCGAGCACCAAGATGAATTAATTATATGTTAAATGGGAAATTAACATATAATGAGCAAGCTGTAGTTTTTATTTATTTATTTTGTTTTTGGAGTAAATCCAAATAATGCTCTCCAAAATTTAAACCAGTAACTTGTCCTGACAACTAGATTATTCTGAGTGTCGCTGTAATCACAGCTATTAAGAAAAAAAAAGATTGGGGGAAATATCTGAGGAAGGAGCTGGATGCAATCTGACATGACATCATCTAATTGTTTAACATTGAACCTATTTAACTTTGCTTTAGATACTAGCGGCAGCTTTCAAATTTATAGTTTTTCCATACCAGTCACGATCATACAAGACAAACACAGACAAGATCTTACCAAGAACAGGGGCTAGTGAGTAATATTTTATATATAATTCATCAAGCATTATAAGTATGCTAGAATAATGTTTTTTGAAATGAACCATATTTATATTAGTTCCATTGTTTTATGTTTCCAAACAAACAAAGGAAAGAAACATATTAACACTGACCAAAACCACTTGAGTTCTTTTTCATATTTGTGGAGAAAAAGAAGGAGCTACTTAAAACATAACCCATAGTTTATAGCCCTATGATAAAACCAAAGATTGAATACAAATAGAAGGTACTTTATCACTTTTTCAGGGCTCCAATGCATTTTTATTTCTCAACGCTTTTTAAAACACTCATTTTAATAATAATAACAAAAAAAAACATGAACTAAAGGAGCTTTACACTATTTTTTTTTTGACAAATAGAAAATGAACCGCATTTGCTGACTAAAAAGGAGAAAGAGACTCCACACCACAGAAGTGCTTTCAAGTTTCCAAAAGGTGGTGGTTTATGGTTGATGCTTCATTTTTAATTCTTCTAGACGCTGCATATTTTCTCAGCATAGAGGGTTTGTTTCTTTCCACAGACGCCCACACGATAAGACAGAGAAACATAGACATGGTCTTATTTCTGTCATAAGGAGTCTTTATCAGTCATAACTATCAATACAGCTGGTTGAACACAGAATCTCAAGTATCATCAAATGTACATTTGCGGTTTCTTCAGAAAACATCACAAAGGGAAATCGAAAGCAACAACAACAACAACAAAACACATGAACCCAAAAGTGTAGTGTCCCTTTATGTTCCACATTTGTCTTGCTTCCTAGCGGAATAACCCGCTTATCCATTACTGCCTCTGCCACTGCCTCCATTTCTATGGAGATAAATGAATTAAATTACACAAACAGCACAGAGTTTAATTTTACAGCAGCTGCCATACACTGCAAATATTGATTTACAAAAGCAAACTTACAAAGGGGAAATAATGTTCAACAGCTGATCTTTTTTACATTTTATACACCAAAGGAGGGGGTAAAATAAAAAAAGAACATGGATATTCATCAGAAAGCAGTCAGAGGGAGTAAAAAGAGACATGAACTGCAGCCCAGGATTTGCTAATTAGAGTTCAGCTTTCACACTGAGGGCGTGCTGTAACTAGAATGCAGACACAGAGCCCGTTGGGGAAGGGGAAAGAAGCCGTCTCAAGTGATGGTACATTGCTGAGCGACTGCTTTTCTTCTCCGTTAGATGATTAGACACTATTGTCAAACTTTGAATGGAAACCAGGAGGGATGAAAGTGAAAAGAGGGCAATTACACAGGCTTTTGTCAATCGTTTTACTTGGAGGGGGTTAGAGAAGAGAAAAGAATGATTATACAGGCTTTTGTCTTTCTCCTCTGTGTGATGGTTACTGTCAAATATTGTTTTGCCGAAAAAGCAAACATCCCCTCAACAATAATTACATAGTACATTTAATTAGGGGGGAGCAAGGCCGGTCCCAAACAGGCCCCGTCAGCTTTCTGACTCCGAGATGAGCACCGGCTTGTTAACTCATTTCAAACCGCCTTGTGAATATTAAACAGTGCCGGCATGATCCCCGCATTTGATTAAAAACTCAAATGGATAATTACAGTCTGCGCTTGCTGACATTTATTTATCCTCGCTCTGATGTACAGTGAATGGGGTGTGAATAGCTGAGAGCGCGCTGACAGATGTGAGAAAGCGACAGTCACAGCACGCCTTTTCTTTTTTTATCCTGAAGCTGACGTTTGGTTTGGAGCGAGCGCCCGGCCGGCAGGTTGGCATAGATGGGGAAGCTCTTATTCTGCTTGGATTTCTTCACCATCCTGGGACACAGAGGGACGTTCTCATAGATATTCGGCTGTGAGGAGGTAGTAGTGGATGTTAGTTGACTTTAAGATAATAGACAAACATGACAGGTTTTCACCAGCAGTGCAGCTGATTGGTTGATAAAGAAAAATGCAGTGGCCTTGCAAAGGCATTCACACTTCTCAGACTTTTAGCACGTGTTGCCACATTATCATCATAAACTTAAAGGCATTTTACAAAAATATATGATAAATCAACAAAGTACTGTGTGACAAAACACACATAGCATTTTAAAAATTTCTTTTCAGTCCATCTGAGTTTACAGCGTTTTTGGAGTATGTGTCTACCAACTTTCCACAGTGGGAAGATTTTCTCTTTTTCAGTCAGACTGGAGTTAAAGCTATTTTGAAGTCTTGACAAATTCTTTTCTCTCCTGACACATGCATATGCTCTGATTAAAACCGTTGCTTTGTAGCTCTGGCTTTATGCTTAGAATACTCATTTCTGGAGGATAAATGTCCACCCCATTTTCAGACTGATGCACTTCCCTGTTCTTGCTGAAGAGCAGCGTCCTTACAGCATAATGCTGCCACCACCTACAGTAGTCAGGATCATCAGAGTAAAGCCCTGATGATCCTTAAGAATAGAGAAACCTGCTTTATATCCAAGGGAAAGAAGTCTAAAGAAACAAAATACACTTTTAAAGGTAACAAAAAGAAAATATATTTCCTGGCCTTAAAGGGGGTTGAATACAAACAACACACTTTCAGATTTTGGTTTATCACATAGTCCCAGGGGAATATAATGAGTTTTGTGATTTTACTGCGGCAGCAGGTAAAAGTGAAGAGCGTGATTATGTTTTGAAGGTCCTGCAGATGTCAAAACCAACAAAATTCATGACTAACTGATGATTGTGTTGTTATTTTTTTTTTTTTTAAATCTGAATGCTTTTGACACCAGCCCTCTTCCAAATTCTTCAAACTGCACAGCTGGGAGTGGTGAGGAACCAGTTAAGCTCTCTGTATCAGGTGGGATGTGTTGCTTTAACGTTAGTTGTAAAGTGGAACAGCCTTGTAGTTAAGCGCGAGTCTTATGAGGAGGTGAGGGAGAGCTTTGAAGGAGTCGAGTGTAAAGACGAGAGTTGATACAATGAACAAACTGACGCCTACCTGTCTCTGAGTGGGGTGCAGTTTAACTCGGTACTCCTCTCGCCGCTTTTTTTTCCTGTGATTGATTGTCACACAAATAGGTCCACGCGTGAGCCAAAAGAATGAAATGCACACAAATTTAAAACAAGAATATAAGTTATTGCCTTAACTGGCGATACCTTAGCCTCAGGGCAAGTATGAGGAAAGCAATGAATAGAACAAGTCCAGCAGCTCCAGCTCCAATATAAACATACAGCATGTACAGGGACAGACTGAATCCACCTGATTGGAAAAGAGAAATAGTTTAATATCAAATATCTGCAGGCCCATTCAATAAATTTGAATATTATTGAAAGAACCATTTATTTCAGGAACTTTATCACTAAATGAAACACATAATGATTAATTACACACAGATGGATGCTTTAAATAATTCATTTCTGTTAATTATGATCAATTTCAACTTAGAGCCGGAAAAATATTCTATCAGACCAATAAACAAGATAATTCAGCAATGTGTCTAAATGAAAAGTGTATTTAAAGGTTGTCAATTTTCAAAAGGTACCTTTGATCTAACAAATGAGCTTTATTGGACTAAATATTCGAATTTACTCAACATGACTGTAGATAAGACGAGGCAAACCACCTAAAATTCAACTACATGGATTCTTTAGTTTATGATAGATTTGTATGTTTCTTATGACATCTGAATTTATCATGACCCAAATAAATTAAACCATACTAGACCTGCATGCAACACCATGTCACAGCTGCTCTAACCGTGAATTGATACAAAGAACAGGATTCTGTGGTTTTCACACCTCTGATTGTAACGTAAGCCTTTTTTCTTTCTCTATATGTGCTGCAGCATACTTGTGCAAATGGCAATAAGCATGGGGAATGATACGGTAT